AACAGTCTCCATTGTTAGAGATATTACCTTTATTACAATAAATACAGAATATTTTTGGAATATACGCAGACGTATCGGAGAGGTCAGGTGTTCTCGCTGTAATATTTCAGCTTTCTAATTTGTGATTTCAGCGCATACGAGAGTTGATATTTAAAGGTAATATAATGCCTGGTGAGTTGCCAGCGATGGATGGCACTCATTTCGTCTCTATATTTCTGGTTATATACTCGATGTTTTTAGCTTTCGTGATGCTTTTCAAGTAATTGTACAAACTACGTTTCGTTGCTGTTGAGTTTATGCTTTGTTGTAGATTTTTTGTTTGGTTGTTGTTTTTTTTATTAATTGTGTACTTTTAGTTACTTAATAATAAAGAAATTGAATTCATTTTATTTTGTTCAGTATTTGTTCTTAAATTATTGTCTTTAAATCGATTCTCTCTTCGTTAGAAATAATCTCGATAAGATATTTAAGTCAATTTTTTTTCATTCGATTTAATTCTTAAACTAAGCAAATGTTGATTATATATGTATGCTAATGTTAATTGTATAAATTTGACCTGAAAAACTGTTCGGAAACGCAGGCAAATTGGATTCTGGCATGGCTTTTCAAATACTAACCTAACCTACTATATGGAGGGCACAACCAAGTAATCAAAATTTATTAAATCAATATCAAAAGATATACTAGTTATAAATGTCATCAATCGTTAAAAGAAAAATTAATTTAGTATCCCGAAACAATAATAGTGTTACCTCGAATGCAGCTCATTTATAATTTGTTCCGTCTATTATGACTAATATAGACGGAACTAATATTTATATCACACATAAAAAATATCGTTTACTTAAAAAAAGTGCACATTTACAATAGATCTTTGAGGATCAAATAATATTATCCTAATTTACATCACTATATCTCTAGAAACTTCAAATCTCAAACGTCATCGTACCCATCGTACGTGAAATGAACTATAGAAACAGTTAACCCACCATAACTAGACTGTTAACAGCCTGTAAAACCGAATCTTCCTTGATGGCTCTCAGGTTTCTGTTGAGCAGAGAGTTGTCGTCTTGAGCTTGGTTTTCAAGCCAGTTGCACACAGCTTCGTTGTCGAGCTCCCACTGGTGGGACTATGGAACATAAGAGATTCTTTAAATTACATTACGCGTGCATTAAATGACGTTTTTTATTCTTAATTAACAAAGGGTTTTTCAACAAGAACTTTGTTTTTTAAATCAAAATAAAACAATGAATTTAGATGACAATGATTCAAATTTTTATTGTATTAAAAAAAAGTAAGGTTTGATAATTATGAATGAAAAATGATATCTGATAAGTATCCAACACGACCACAGTTACAGATGTCGATTCTTTGAACAAAGTTTTTAATCACTTCACGAATTTTGAGTTATAGGGCTGCAATCGATTCGATTGGCTCCGTATAGACTCTGTCTTTAACATAACCCCATAAAAAAATAACCCAGCGGTGTTAAATCATACGACCGAGCTGGCCACTTAACGGTTGAGTTTCGTGAAATTATGCGATCGGGAAATTTAGTTTACAATAAATTCATTGTTTCGGTGGCCGTGTGACTTGTGCCGTTGGCATCGAGCCGTTTTTTTCGCTTACGCTATCGAGAGATGTTACGACGTGACGATGTGTACGACCATGAGTACAAAGCGAATGGCAGATAGAGCTTAAGAATGTAGAACTTCGCTTACTGTTGGCACACGTGCCACACAAGCCAAGCACTTCTATTGTATTTAGGCCGACAAACGATCTTTATTATTTGGAACGGCCTGTCGCCGTAAAAGCGACACATGTAGCACGTGTCGCCGGCGTCGGGCCGGACTCACCATGGTCTCGCCGCGGTCCTCCGTGAACCAGCGCCGCAGCGTGGCGGCGGCGGCGCCCTGGTCCATGGCGTCGGCGGGGCTGAGCGCGCCCGCGGCCTGCACGCGCCGCTCCTGCTCGTTCTGGCGCAGCAGGCGGCGCAGGCGCCAGTACAGCACGCGCCGCGACGTCCGCCACGGGATTATGTCCTGCCAGTCGAGATTGTGTTTCATTTTTCTCAATTTCCTTGAGGTGCATCAACAAATAGCGAAAAATTTGGATGTCAAGCTACTTTTGACAAATCATTGGATTTCTTAATCCATTTCAAATGAAATTTGCTTAAGATTTTTCTGTCAGACTCTCAATGTTCACAAATTACTACACGGTGTAAACAATTCCCTCGATATGTCTTGTAGAATGTGTATTACTAGACGGTGTAAACAATTTCCGCATTACACCTTGTAGAATTTAATTATTGTGTTAATTTAATTGTGTTTCGGCTGCATGAAGTTGATTACGACTTCACGCATTAACTGCAAACATGCAATCAGTCTGTTAGCAGCCTTAGGTGTGGCGACAACACAGAAACTAATACTGTCAAACCAGAATCAGAGCCTTTTAAATAAATGTAATATGTTACCCATTATCGGATAATTATCAAAATAAAATAAACATATTTTCTAAGATCTTGCATTTGCCGTTGTGTAGAAATGTAGGCTTCAATTCAGCTATCAATAGAATATATAGAAGCTACAATGACTTGAAAAGTACGTGTGATGCGGATATGTTTGCTGACCCTTTGTCTGCATCTAGGCACAAGGTAGCTTCACATTTTAAATAAAAATAAAATTAACACTAGTAGCATCATAGAATATAGTAATATACGTGCAATTTAAATATGTATTAATCTATTGTTTTTTCGCTTATGTAAAAAAATATAGCATCAAAGTACTTTTTTAAGCATCATGTCAGCGATGTTGTCGTGAAATTGAATATATATAGTGCAGTGTGCAGCGAATGTTGTGTACGTCTGTAATTGTCCTATGTATAGTCCTAGCCTCGTGTCTAACTTTTGTTATTTGTCAAATAATGTTGATGTGCTTAATATAAATAATAATATCTTGGTAATTTCAAACCCTGTTTAAACTATAGTCAGTAACGCAGTAAATTCAAGTTGGAGAATTTACGCGTCTTCCAAAGTTTGTAACTATTCTTCGACTTACATGTTTCATATAACAATGTTTTCCTTAACTATTAGCGAGAAGTATTTTTATTGAACTATATAGACTTACAAATATACAGCCTTTTTCCAACATTCTTTCGGCTGTGTCGTGTAGTTCGGCGAATTGAACGGCAATCTGGAAAACAAGTATAATTATAATAGCGGGCATATTTACACCACTACACTAGGGAAACCCTGTATGTACACGGTGCCATGACCACACACATAGACAACCACATATTACACCCAAATTCACGAGAGAAATACTTGTAGATCATTATCTCTCCCGGCCCGGGAATTGAACCAGGGACCTCTGCATAAAGAAATGAAAAAGCCGTTTTTTCAGTTCTTTATTTGCAAACTTTAAAGCTTTTTAAATTCCAATTATTTTCTTAGAGTATTATAAAATCCTAGACATCAGTTAGATGATCACTCTATGTGAATAACGAGCTTTTCAGAATAAAACTGAGCAATGCTAAAGTCACGTGTTACGCCTATTTCAGTGAATTTAGAACTTTAAAAGGCTCTCCTGTAGACTTGGCAATTTCGACATACGATACTTTACGTAGGAGGGGTTGAAACTAAAAATTTTTCATAATTATTAATACAAAGATCGAACAGTAAGAAAAAATTCGTTCTATCAGGCTGTATTCGAACCAACGTCTTCCAGCAAACCGTGAAAGACGCTACGCCACGGAATGAACTAGCGGACCTTATGCTGGGTGTACGAGTCTCTTACGAGTCTTCCGCTTTGCGTTTTTCTTGTCTTTGTTTTGGTTTTATAGGACGCGTGGACGCTGCTGCTCTGTGATTGGCCAGTGGTGCTGTCCTCCGCAAACGTTCCCTGTTGCTTGCGTGGAAATATCAAACGCACGCAACGGAGAAGCGAGCGACTCGTGAACAGTCCTACACAAGACAGATCTTGGCGTATGCGCGAAATGAGTCACGCAAGTAAGCGAAAAAACGCAAGTGAAAAACTCGTGCACCCGGCATTACGAATTTTTCTATATGCTTGTTGCAGATTTGGTTTGATTGGATTTTTGTTTTTTTAAGAAAAGTTTTCACAGATGGTGCCACGGCAAAAAGTTGTTAATTCAAGATGTGTGTTATAATTACCTCGTGGTATATAGGACTGAGCTCCTTTTCTCTGGCTTTGGCAGTCTTTTCTGCGGCTAACAGCTCTGTTTCTAGTTCTCGTACTTTGGTTTCCGCTGCAAGGAGACGTAACACAACAGCATAATCACTATTTTTTAATATTACAATCCATTACAATCTAATACAAACAAAATCAAAACGTTAACAAATCTTTCCCACAACAGTAACATGTTTCTTTAATATGGCTATCAGGGTATTCAAATTTATCTCTCTAAAAGCTCTTATTCGACAAGAACACTTCAATAGACTACAAACTATTAGAAATAGGTTATGAATCCGGCCGGATCGAATCTAGTGGAGTAATTTCACAAAAAATAATTTAATATCAGTTCAATAAAAAACGTGAAATAGGTAATAATAATTTCCATTTTTTTATTAATATGTATATATTTTATTATGTTTAAATATTTTATGATACATGAGTACAGCTCTGCAGCATGGGCCTTTCTAACACCTCTTTAGTAGCGTAAAGCTCCTTGTGAAAGAGTTCGTCCAGGGTAGTACTTCCACCTTACCTATTTCTAGCATTATTATGCTGGCATGTCTGCGTTCCTGTTTTAAAGGGTAAGGATGCTGGTGAAATTAAAGACACTTGGGACTTGTCAACTTATGTCTCAGGGTGACGGGAGCAGTGGCAATACCATTTGAGCCGCACTGCAACTGTTATGAACAGGCGTGACACTTATGAACAGACGTGACACTTATCACCAGGCGCACGACTTGTCAGCTTGTCTGACCAGTCTTGTGAGTCTCTGAGGGTCGTATCCAGAACTCTACTCAATGCTCAAGTCAGGATTTGAGTATGCTTCAAAGCATTAGAAATCATACTCAAGTCCTTGCTATTAGGGTCGTATATCCAGTGCTTGAAATCATACTCAGATCCTGACTTGAGCATTACTTAGACTGGCAGGGAGAAAATCCAGTCCTTGCAACCCTTATTCTTCCCAGCTTCCGTCTGTTACCTTAAGTCGCACAGTAACAGGCTACCTCTACTATGCGTTACGTATATACCAGCAGTGTTTGTTAGGGCTAGGCTGTTAGGTAGGAACGTAGGGTTGTTTATGATAGGTTACAGCTTTCCCTTACCATGACATGTTTAGCCAGCTAGCTGTAATTACACATTCAGGACGATACTCAACAGTAACACTCACACCCAACGAATATTACGCAAAGATAGTTATATTTTTTCTTCTCCTCTTCTTCTTGCGGAGATGGGGGTGTAAGGTTCGAAGAGCTGAATTAACCTTTAACGACTGTAGTTACGTTTGGAGAAGGATTTCACTGAATTTAAATACTTTTTCCAATTGAGACAAAAATTTATTTATGTAAAGAACTTATACGACAACGGTCCATCAGACTGGAAAGGTGTCGAGCAATTGAACGATCAGCAATCGCATGAACCGGAGTCGCAGCTCCAAGGAATCAAACAATGGAATATAGGCTTTATTGGAATATAGGGTGACTTTGTAACCTAGTTTTTTCGGATTTTCGATAACAAGTCGTAAAAATTGCTATAAAATGTAACCTTAATGATTGAATAATTAATGAATGAAGTAATGTGTGCATAATTACACGAACGTGATTCTTGCAACATTCCAAAGTTTTTACGGTTCATGTTAATTATTGCGACATCTTAGATTTTAGGATACCGTCATAGTATAACTAGATAGAGGTAAAGTTAGTTGACTCTAGAATTAGTAAATATTAGATTGGGTACACACCTTTTTTACCTGCCTCGGTGCGAATGAGTGCGTCGTCTATGGACCCGCGGCGGTCTAATTGTTTCGATAGCTCTTTGATTTGGTCTTTTAATTCTGAAAATAAAGAATATGTTATGTCGTATCTACTTCTACGAATAAATCTATCTGTATTCGTTAGCAAACCAATGTCGTATTTACCTGTTATCCTGGCTCCCAACCTCAGCAGCTCTGGGTCCATTCTGTGCATGGTCTTCAGTATATCCCGTTGTTTGTATTTCACTTCGACGATGCCTTCTGCTTCAAGTACTCCGCCTCTGTAACAACGAATAGATGTCAAATTTCGGGTGCGTTAACTTAATTCTAACTTTTAGTAAACTTAAATAACCTGGGTGCATTGGATAAATATAAAAGTAAACTGTATTCACTACGATATTTAAGGACGCCAGGATTCAACTCGTTACATGGTACAGATACGGTGAAGAAAAACTTCGTGATGAAATCTTCATGTCGAAGAAGGTTCACAATGAAGTTCCCAACCCGCATTGGACTACCTTGGCTAGCTATGGCCTAAGCCCTCGCATGAGAGGAGACTCTACTCAACAGTGGGCCGTACAAATAGGTTACAGTATGATGAGTGTTCTGAGTAATGTATCCAGGTGATTTAAGTTTACTTAAAGTGTACTTAACGCACCTAGATGAACTAATTCAGGTGAATGAAGTTAATTCGCAAGCAAATTTCAATTCAATAATTGTAGCTACTGGTTGTCAGGCCGTTTTAATAATAATCTTTTATAATTATTCATACAAAGATCGAACACTCAGAAAAAACACTCAGAAAAAATTCCTTCGATCCGGTCGGATTCGAACCGACGTCTTCTTGCATACCGTGCCAGACGCTATACCAACTAAGCCACGGAACGAACCAACGGACCCCACGAATTTTTCTATGTGCTTGCGTCGTGTCTTTGTATTTGGTCTTTCAACGACTTTTTAGTCGTAGCGCCACCTATGAGAAATCTATGACAGATTTATCACCCAGTTAGTACCTTTACAGCTACCAGTCCTGGCGAGATGTCGCTATTCACTGTATTAATTAAATTTTTATTGAATTGATATTCAAATCATTATTTTTTCTGAGTGTTCGATCTTTGTATTAATAATTATAACAAACTAGTGGAGTAATTTCACAAAAAATAATTGAATATCAATTCAATAAAAACTTAAATGATCTTTTATTTCAAACTAATGTTCATATTTTGTTAGAACAAATTGTCTTATTAATATTCTTTTACCATGCCAAGTGACTGGACGAACATCTCATGCGCCTAATATTAAGCGACACGCCTGTCCATAACAGTTGCAGTGCCATTCAGAGCCTTAAATCGCAAAGATCCTATGGGCACTGTCACTGCGCCCGTCAACCTGAGACATAAGTTAACAAGTCCCATGTGCCTGTAATTTCATCAGCACCCTTACCCTTCTAAACCGGAAATGAGTAATGCTCACACTACTGCTTGGCGGCAGAAATAGGTAAGGTGACAGTACTTCCCCGGATGAACTGTTTCACAAGGAATTTGATAACTTAAATTGATGTTGCAGTTAAATGTACGTAATTATTTTAAATGTTAAATTTTATGCTTGTTATTTAGAAGAAAATAATCTTTATCGAAATTCTCGATCAATTTAATAAAATTACAGATTATTTTTTCACATTTACCGATTCTCGACTCAGACAGGCGATTATTTAAAAAACTTCTTATTCTTTCAGTAAAATTTTCTACCTGTGGTATTTAAGATAATTTCGTGTGGCATTGCCGTGAGACGACCTGTATAACTTTTTTTTTATGTATTAAGGTTTTGGCTAAGCCATCAGCCTAAACAGGAATTATTATAATTATTACAGAGTTTTAAATGTAATTTAAAAAAAAAAACTAACTACTACAGCATGGAAAGCAGAAATTAAATATAAAAAATTGTTGGCAGTCAAAAAACAAATTATTAAGGTCACAGCTGTATAACGTTGCTGTTCGTAATTGGACGTAGTGAAACAAAAAGGGTCCTATGCATATCCAGTCACTTTCGAGACATGGCAGTTTGAAGTTTAAAAGTGTTTCTCACTCTTGTTTTATTCTCAAAACTTATAATGTCATGTAACTCCAGAGATATTTATTTATTTATGTTTATATGTTGGATTTATTTTTGCTGATCTAAGAGGTTTAGCTTTGGAAACCGTTTGGTACATATAACTAATTTTTTGATAATTTATAGTCCATTTCAATAGGAATGATTCCGGTGACGTTTGAAATTTGAAGTTTTTAGAGATGTAGTGATGTAAAATCGTATGAAAAAAATCGATTTAAATATCTTATCGAGATAATTTGTAACGAAGAGGGAATCGATTTACAGAAAATAATTTAAGAACAACTAATGAACAAAGTAATGGTGTAAATGTCTATGGATAAATATTTCTTTTATATATTAAGTAATTAGCATTGACTTACAATTATATGGACGTCGGGTCCGCGCCAAAAAGTGTCCGAACTTATAGGGCGTTAAAATCGTATACAGAGCGTCATTCACGCTTTAGTCTTCGTTTGTTCGACTGACAGCGAAGCAAGCAAAATTAGACAGTACTGCGATGACATTACAATTTAAATTCAACGGTTTAGCTTTTTCATATTTCTTTACTTCATACTCTTCTCACTTATTCCTTTACATGTCACTACGTTTAAATAGGTTGACTTGGGACATTTTTTTCGTGGTTTTTGTATTAGACCCGTCGTCCATTTATTTGTAAGTCAATGGTAATTAGGGTAATTTATGTTGTGTCTATTCCTAAACACTACACAACCAAATAAAAAGTCAACAATAAAGCATAAAATCAGCAGCAACGGAACGGTATTTGAACAATTACTCCAAAAAGATCACGCAAAGCCACACCCCGGACACTCCATACAATGGTCGAAAATTATTTACCTACTACTACTACATAAAGCAAGGCGCTACCTGCACACGCGCAAATGAGTGCGTGAAGTGGCAGGGTTACCCATTACATTCTCGCACTATTACGTTACGTGGTCACAGCGGCAACATAGCGAAAACTCCAACGCGAATCTGTTATCTATGATTAGGTATTTACATCGATATATTATTATATTTTTCATTAACTCACTAACTAGAGTAATATCGAAGATTTATTTCAAAAATATATTAAAAGCACTTAAAATGTTATTATTATTTCGGACTTTTTTCGGACATGTACTTTTAAGTAAGGTAACCAAGGTATTTGAAATTGCTTATCCAAGTTTAGTTAATAATTAGATATATTCACTACCTACGTAATATTTATCGGCAATACGAATAGAAAATTCGCGAAGTCATGGCGTCTCATTATATTGATATAATAAATCTGTATTTTTTATACATACTTAAATTACTTTGCAGTAAATAAGTGAAGAAAACAATAACTGACTGAGTCTCTGACGTAAGTTTTTTTACTTACTCCGTTTCATCTTTCGGAAAATGATGATAAACAGCAGTACACAGCACAATTCACGACCATTATAAATAGTAACGTACAATGATGTTATTTCGTAATGAATAAATGAAAACTATATTCAAAACATCAAAGCCGTCTTCGCGCTAAACGGCTCGCCCGCAGCCTTGATGTCGTTCAGTCAATGTGACCGGCAATGTACGGGGCGTGGTGCGGTATCTAAAACTAGGGAGGGGCGGAGAATGTCAGTTCTCTTATCTATATTCTCTGGCAAAGCTAAAAACAAAATAAAACCCGCTAACAAGGTATGTAAATGCCTCGTATTGACGCGAGTTACACAGAAACCGATTTGATTTATCGATTCTATGATGTAAATCTCTATGGATAAACAATCCGTTTTACGCATCAAGCAGTTGGTGTATTATATTTATTATTTCATTTTTTTATCTACATAATATACCACAATTTTTACTTAAAATTACATCTACAACAAATATTGTTTCATTTTGGTACATTACAACAAATTTGTAGCCGGATTGACGGATTAGTTATAAATCTACGTAATAGAAGTGTCACAGAACTCATCCCTATTGAAATGGACTGTAGTGGATTGTGTGAGAGGCCAAGTACGTCGAATTGTACGTCGCCGGCACCCACCTGGCCTCGGGGTCGGCGTACATCTCCATGCGCGTGGCGTTGACACTGGGGTCGATGACGGCCCAGGCGCCGCCGCGCACTTCGGCTCCCGGCGGCACGTACACCAGCACGGGCGCCGTGGCACCGCGCAGCGCGCGCACGATCTCGGCGCCGAACTTCAGGATCTGCTCGTACATGTCTGCGGGCGCCAAGCGACGGTGCAATTCTCACAGGATTTACTTTCAATATCCGAATGACTTTGTAGATAGATAGATAAACACTTTATTGCTCACACACAAGAACAAAGAAAGGCGGTCTTATCGCTAAGAGCGATCTCTTCCAGACAACCTTTGAGTTAGGGGAAAGATAATCGGAGCGGGAGACGTAGTGCGCCAATTTTACAAATATAAAAAAAAATACAAAATAAATAAATTAAATAAAGACACATAGTAATTTATAAATATACCTAAATAAACTTATACTTACTAATAAATATGCACACGTTGCAGACTAGGACCGTGATAAAAAATATTTGCGCAATCCCGTTTTGAAAATAGGTAGCGACTTAGACTGTCGGATTTCAAATGGGAGATCGTTCCACAATTTTGCAGCCTTAATCGTAAAGGAATCTTTTTAATACTCAGAGCGAGTGAAAGGAGGCTTCAGTAGGTTATCCATTTTAGACCTTAGTTGACGGTTGTGATCATCCCCTAGGAAGCGAAAACGAACCTTAAGGCATGGCGGAGTACGAGAGTCGTATAGAACATTATAAAGAAAGCTGAGAACGTGCTCCTCACGGCGCAACTTGATAGGGAGCCACTGAAGCCTTCTCCTAAATTCGGCCGCATGATCGAACTTGCGCAATCCGTATATAAAATGTATTGATTGTTACGCTCAATCTCAATCAATATCTTCACTTCTGAATGAAAAAGCAGCAAACAAAAAAATATTTCGTTTTCGTTACTTCACTAACTAAAACGCGGTTAAGTGAGAAATCGACCCCTCCTACGTAAAGTGTCGTATGTCGAAATTGCCAAGTTTACAGGGAAGCGTTTTAAAGTTTCACTGAAATAAGCATAACACAGACTTTAGCATTTCACATTATGTATTGTGGTTGTTTATCTAACCGATATCTAGGATTTTATAATACTCTATGTGAGTAACGAGATTCGCCGAATAAAACTGAGAAATGCTAAAGTCGCGGTACTTTACGTAGGAGGGGTCAAAATGGTCAATTATCCGTTTAATTAGAAAAAATTAAAGCACAAAATTCTCTTTTAAACATAGTTACAATTATGTAGTTAACTTACCCTAACGATGCATAGCTTAAATATCATTAAACAATTACAATATTCTACAACTGGGTTATGGTTTTTTGATATCTCAAAATTTTATTTTGTCACTTAGCGTTTTAGTTATACCCTGTTTCAAATGAATTGAGAGTAAAGGTAAACATTGAGTGCATTGACCCGACCATAGTCGGTTTAGTGATGGGCAATTGTAGAGTAATTTACTAATCAATTATTGAATGAATCAGATCGATCAATTGAATCTGTTGGACTAACATCAAGTGAATTCCGCGCATTTGACCGTTGTAAATTGATTGAAGGTGATACATATAAAAACGTTCCTTTATTTACGATTATTGACATTTATTGTTTAAAAGTTAGAAGCTATCAGTTAAATACAGAAAATTATGAAAATACTTGATAGTTAACAAGTCGCTAAATCGTTTGTAAGCGGTACAGAAATAAGAGTTGGTCAAATGACTTCAAGACGTAAGTTTCTGGTGACTCTTGAGGCAATCACTTACTCAAACTATGATTCACTCAATTGAACTTTTTTCCGTACATCCCTATGCAACCATAGACATTCTAGACTATGGATTGTCAAATCAATCTCAGTTTTCGGCGAAGATTTTTCAATTATGATTTTATAATGCATAACAAACGAATATTGTTGGAAAAAGTGGTGAGATATCTAGTGGAAACCTACAAAATACACATAAAAGTGTTACTTATTCCATATAGTGAGTGATTTCTTCAGAATTTTAACCCAACTGGTTTGTTTACGTTTACTCTCAATTCTATTGAAATAGACTATAGCAGACGACAGATTTACAATGGTTGTTCATCTAAATTACCATGTTTTGATTGACTGCGAAACGGGACAACGGTTTCCCACTGAGTTACCACCGTCCCTTTCTGTAACCTTACGTACTATTTGCGTGACTATTGCATGGGAACTTGTAATTTGCATGTTAGTTTCATGGCAAATTGGAATTGTAATTTGCTTCACAGTCGCGTGACAAATTGCAATCGTAATTTACATGACAGTTGTTTGGTAAATTGCAATTGCAAATTATCTTCGAAACTTCGACTTTACAGCTAAATTAATTTTATTTATTTATTTGTTGCAACATATACAGTATAGGAAATAGCGTCCCATACAAACACTATGGATCCATCCATATAGGGCAATGCAATCCATTAATTACAAATGAATAAGCAGCAAACAAAAAGTGTAAGTGGAGTTACGTCAGAAAATTGTATATTACGCACCCCTCATGGAAGAATGGCATAATAAGAGTTACGTCAAAAATGTTTATTGCTCCAATAGATACAGAAAAATATAACCCAGGTCCTCTCCAATTGTTGCAAATGCACTAACATTCTAGATAGAGTTACAGGAATTGGAGAGGATGTGGGTTATATTTTTCTGTATCTAATGGAGCAATAAACATTTTTTACGAACTCTTATTATGCCATTCTTCCATGAGGCGTGAGTAATATACAATTTTCTTATATATGTATAATAAACTACAAAATATACAGCAACGAACAACAAACAAAAGCAAAACGTTTAGTATCACTTGCCACGAAAACAACACAAAAGTACATGAGGCTATTTGTTTATAAAAGAAGAACTGGAGATGTAATTTTTATTATAAGTTAAATAGACGTACTCTTGACTTCTACCTAGTCCTGGGGCAAAGATGGGGTCGATGATGGAACCAGCTGACCCAGAAAATGCCTACTCAAATGCACCTTAAAGACGTCCGGATTGTATGGTCGGAAACACAGACGATGGTAATAAATTACGGTCTTTGGACAACAATCAAGTAAAGATAATATCCTGTCTAAATGTACGGTGGTCAAAGAAGGGGGGCGGAATAAGCCGGTGAAGCTCTTGGGCACATTCACAGAAGTCCCTTGCATACAGATGCAGTGACAGCACTGTCATCATGCTACGAAAACATTGATATTAAAACAGCACTGGAACATACCTTTCTGTCCACCGCTGAATCCTCTCCAATTAGCGAAGATCATAATCGGTAAGTTCTCCCGAGAAAAATCGTTGATGGCCTGAGAAGTCTTGTACGCTGAATCAGGGAACCAGACCTGCGAGAATTACAAGTGGTCAGTGCAATTCATGGAAATGATGATGATGGGCATGAAATTTGAAAGTATAGCATGAATTATAATTTATTTATTTATATTGGTATGGTATTCTGCTAAAACTTAAGAAAAATTGTCAGTGGCTAGCCGTCGAGCTACTGCATTTTGTATTTCTTTAGTACTCTGCTCTTCGATAGCACATCGATGTCGTATATAATTTGAAGACCAAATTTATTAAACGAGATAAGAATCAAAACGTGCATAGTAATTTTTATTCAATTAACAGCCTCCGTGGTCGAACGGTTATCACGCTAGTCTGCCACGCAGGGGTGCCGAGGTTCGATTCCCGGGCTGGGAGAAATATTTGTATGACCTACATTTATTTCTCTCGTGATTTTGGGATAACTATTAAGTAATCTGTGGTTTGTGGGTGTAATTTGTGGTAGTCTATGTGAGTGTTCATGGCACCCGCGATACAGGGTTTCCCTAGTGCGGGGCTTTTTAAAAAAAACCATGGTAATTTTAGTAAGGTAACATAATTAGTGATTGAATAAAATATACATTTATTGCAACGCCACAACACAGATACAAAAAAAATGATAACACAGACAAACAAAACAAAATAAAAAAAATTAATAAACAAAATAAAGAATGCAATAAAAAAACATAAAGTAAGACAAATCAGACAAAACGCAAAAAACAAAATATAACCACTACAAATTTTGTACTGTCATATATATATTCCGCATATTCACAACCGCACATAATGATATACATATATTTGTATATCATTATGTGCGGTTGTGGCGTGCGCAAAAGGACTTCATTCAGCATAAGCCACCGCCATAATTGACTGTAGCGCTGGTTTTCAATGAGCCCTGAGCCGGGATAAGTGACACACGTGTGTGTCGCGAAATAAAAGAACTTAAAATAAACTACTTAAATATTTGTGTATGTGTTCTTTGTATATTGTGTTACTGCTGCGTGTTATATTATAGATCGTAAAAGTATACACTATAAACGCACACAGAAGGTATATACATATATATATACCTTCTGTGTGCATTTATAGTGTAGATAGATAGATTGAATGAATTAAATTAAAGTCATCAGTGCCATTCCACTGGCAATCCATAAAGACTCAACTGCCATTGCAACTGCATTTTAGCAGAATACCAAGTATTATCATAATACAATATAATCTCTGTGGATTCAAAAAATTGAAATAATTGTAGAAAAAATTGCAGAACCCTGTAAAGTTGTACCGCATGCTGTAACAATGCACATATAATATACAAATGCATATCTATCTATATATCTGTTACTTACTTGTCCCGCCTGCTGTAAGGTCTTTGCTTCAGAATCCAAGTTGGCAGGATCAGCTGGCAGGGTCAGCTCCACTGTACGAGTTTCCACGGCTATCACACCGACTGGAATACCCCCGAGGCGCGCTCGACCTGACAAACGACAAATTTATTGCAAAATTGGAACACGTCACACTGATTGCACTATAATTATGTTGCAATTGCAAATGCTTATTACTTTTTTATTATTAAGTTTCCCGTATTTACAAAATGAACTTTGCCCAAGTTTAACCAATAAATTTAACAAAACTTAAGTCCACTTGCATTAAACTTAAATATGCGTAAATTCGTAAGACGCACTTAACACAATGTATTAAGAGTATCTTTTGCATTGCAAGAATTGGTTTAAGTGGTTATACACAGCTACTTTGAGAAGCGATGCAATCACGTGATCAAGAACTGCGCAATTTCATCGCGACACTTGTGATTTACAGGCGATTGTATCGAACAGACGCGCATTGCATCGATGCAATCGCCTATGATCATGAACAAAACATATTTTAATCTCCCTCGACGCTTCGGACCTTTTTTTATATAATATCAAGTAACGGGACGAACAAGTCGTGCGCCTGGTGATAAGCTACACGTCTGTTCATAACAGTTGCATAGCCATAAAGATCTAAGGGACACTGCCACTGCACCCGTCACCCTGAGACATAAGTTGACAAGTCCCATGTACCTGTAATTTCACCAGCACCCTTAAAAACAAAGCTATTGCAACGTCCATGGTCTCGACGGGACTGAAGATAGTTAGAAAAACTCGCACGGCTAGAAGACACTGACACCCGCTTCAGTCCCTTCCAGACCATGGATGTTGTCGAGGTAATAAAAATATGCTTTATACATTATTAAGTCCCGATTTAAAGATCAAATAACGTGTGAAATGTGTGAATTTGTCGATGTAGTCGCGCGCTTGCATCGCTCGCTTAAAATCGCGCGTATGTGTTAAAAGTAGATTATTAGCGAGTGCATCGCTACTGCATCGCGTTTATATCGCGTTTGCATCGCTGTTAAAAGTCGACGTGTGTAACTGCTCTTCGACTTCAGTTTAGTGCAAAAGGACATTAGATATACTCCGCAATTACTTACTTAAACTTTTCTTCATTTTGTAAATACGAAAAACTTGATTAACTCAATTTGATTAACTAATTTTTTTTTTGTTAATATTCATTTGTTTGAAACTTTATTTAAACTTCTGGCTCAAATTTTCGAGTGACAATTACTAAAAAGGGTGGTTTACACGGAAAGACGACTAAGGCCTATAGAAGATCCTTAGAGCGTTTGCACTAAGTCTGATTTGTATCAAGGGGTCTGCCCTAGATCTCCGTCCGACATCCGTCCGAAACAATTACTGTCAAATAAGTAATATTCGACAAAATTAAAAGACAAGTATCCAGTACGGAGCTTCATTCGCATCATACGTCTTTTCATTTGGTCAAGTATTGCTTATTTACTGTAACTGTTTCGGACGGATGTCGGACGGAGATCGAGAGTAGACCCTCAGTTCCGAATCCGAGAAATAACGGTCCGGAATTTCGCAGGTGTCCAAAGTGTCATTTTATCTCTAGGTGTACAAGCGACATCCGAAATAGGTCCGACTTTTCTAGGTTTGTATAGAAACGAATACGAATTGGATGCAATGCGCAAGCGCGCTTACAGTAGTGGCTAAAATAAATAGTTGCTACCCCCTCCCACCCGTTTAAGGCGTCCATGCATCACTAAGATGCTCGTTCGTCTTAACTGTAAAACAACGTTCTTTTTTAACTCCTTTTCTTCTCGTGCAACGCAGTTGTGGAACAAACTTCCTTCCCAAATCCAGTCTAGCCCGTCTATCGCTTCTTTCAAGAAAAGGTTGAAAGCGTACTTTCTTGCTGAACTCTCTTAGTAATCATCTTATTGTATTTTTTTCACATACTTATTTATGTATATGTGTACCTATGTGTATATATTACAATATTTACATATTGATGCTATTTATTATGATTCATTGTAATACCTATGCAAGTAATGGTATTTTTTAATTTTTTTTATTTATGTACTGTATTATATTTCTTCCGCACTCTCTCTTGCACGCTATTGCCCGCTTATAACCTTACCTCTCCCTGCCCTGGGTTGGCTGGTAGAGATCTCTTTTAGAGATAAGTCCACCTTTTACTCCAGTATTTTACTTCAGCTCACTTTCTGTTAATCTAATATTTCTGTTGTATTTATTTGGTGCAATTAAGAATATATACAATAGTTTTAGTAGCAGCAGAGGTCCTTGTTGAAGAGTTCGTCCACGAAAGTATTTCCACCTTACCTATTTCTGCCGCCAAGAGTAATAAGAAACAAAGTGGACGATGACTGACCGGTAATGACCGTCTGCGCCCACGGCTTCATGACCTCGTCGAAGCTGCCCGCGTCGAAGAAGCCGGCCCTGGCGCCGTCGCCCGTGAGCATGAGGCGGGGGTCGTGCGCGGCGCGGGGGGGCACCCACTCCACCGGCCGGTCCACCGGGTCGCTCACGCGCATTATCGGCACGGTGCTCAGCTTGTCCTGGGCCATCGCGGTCAACGAATACGTAAGCGAGCAAACACAAAAAAA